AATATTTTTCATTTATTACTTATTATTTTTTAATTTTTCCCTCTGGTTTTTAAAAACTAGCTAGGCATTATTTATTTCTCACTTTGTCGAAAACCTTCCCCATTTAAAGTGCCCCATTTTCCCCATTTCTCTCTTAATAATACCCTTCTCCTATGGTCACACCTCTCTTGAGCTCCTTCTTTCCCTTTATCCCCTAGGTTCCTTGTATACCCTTCCCTCCCCTCTCCCTTAAACTAACCCAATTTTTATCCATATCTCCATTATTAAGGCCTGTTTCCTACTGTTCATCTCTTTCAGGTTCTTTCTATTCCTTTACCTCCCTGTTTCCTTTCCATTTTCCTGGTTCCCGTAGTTATGTCTGGATACATACTCACTTATCATATGTCGATTTTTTTTTTCTGAGTCTGTGTTACTTCACTTAGTACAACCCTTTCTAGTTCCATCCATTTAGCTGCAAATTTCATGATTTCATCTTTCTTTACTGCTGAGTAAAACTCCATCGTATAAATGAACCACATTTTCATTATTCACTCATCAATTGAGGAACACTTAGGTTGCTTCCATCTCTTAGCTATTGTGAAAAGAGCAGCAACAAACAAGGATGTACAAGTGTCTCTGCAATAGGATGAGTTCTTTGGGTATATGCCAAGGAGTGGTATAACTGGGTCAAATGGTATGTTCATTTGTAGTTTTTTAAGAGTTCTCCACACTGCTTTCCATAGGGGTTGAACCAGTTTTCAGCCCCACCAGCAGTGGATGAGTGTTCCTCTTTCCCCACATCCTCTCCAACATTTGGTATCATTTGTTCTCTTGATCTTAGCCAGTCTGACTGGGGTAAGATGAAATTTTAAAGTGGTTTTAATTTGCATTTCCCTAATTATTAGTGATGTTGAACATCTTTTAAGATGCTTCATAGCCATCTTTACTTTTTCTTTTGAGAACGCTCTGTTTAGCTCCTTAGCCCATCTTTTAATTGGGTTGCTTCTTGTCTATTCTCTGTTTTTTGAGTTCCTTATATATTCTGGATATTGAACCTCTGTCGGATGTGTTGCTGGTGAAGATTTTCTCTCATTCTGTGGGTTTTCTGTTTGCTTCCCTGGTTGCCTCCTTTAATGTACAGAAGCTTTTTAGTTTAATGAGGTCCCGTTTGTTAATTCTTGCCCTTGTTTCCTGAGCAATTGATGTCCAGTTTAGAAAATCCTTTCCTACACCTATATCTTGTAGGTTATTCCCAATGTTTTCTTTTAACAGTTTCAGAGTTTCAGGCTTTATATTGAGGTCTTTGATCCATTTGGAATTGACTATTGTGCAAGGTGAAAGATAGGGGTTTAGTTTCATTCCTCTACAGGTTGGAGATCCAGTTTTGCCAGCACCATTTGCTGAACATGCTGTCTTTCCTCCAGTGACTATTCTTGGCCCTTTTGCCAAATTACAGGTGACTGAAATTGCATTTACTCATATTTGGGTCTTCAATTTTGTTCCATTGAAATTATGGGTCAAAAATTATGGGTCTATTTTTTGTGCCAGTACCATGTAGTTTTTATGACTATAGCTCTGTAATACAGCTTAAAAACTGGTATAGTAATCCCCCCGGCATTGCTCTTAGTGCTCAGGGTTGTTTTGGCTATCCGGGGGCTTTTGTGCTTCGATAT